GTCCGTACACACCACAGCAAAACGGTGTAGCGGAATGAATGAACCGGACGCTCATCGAGAAGGCCCGAAGCATGCTGAACGATTCGCGTCTCCCGAAGGAATTTTGGGGCGAGGCGGTGTCAACGACAGCGTATCTCGTTAACAGGAGTCCAACGAGGTCCCTTGAGATGATACCGGAGGAAGCATGGACCGGTAAGAAGCCAGATCTGAGCCATTTGCGTATTTTCAGGCAAGTATTCTGATTTCGTTACTTATAGTTCGTTTACTGGTGAAGCTGTTTCCCCCCAGCCGTCACCGATACAATCTGAGATGCCGTCTGATGACCCCGAAAGCTACGAGGAAGCGATCAATGGACCGGACCGCGAGCAGTGGATTGCGGCAATGCGTGAGGAGATCGCCGCTCTGGAAGAAAACGAGACTTGGGAGTTGACGAACCTTCCAAGTGACCGGAAGCCCATTCAAAACAAGTGGATCTTCAAGACGAAGCGAGGACCAACCGGTGCGATCGAGCGGTACAAGGCTCGTCTGGTCGTCAAAGGGTGCTCGCAGCGGCCAGGCATCGATTTCGATGAAGTGTATTCCCCAGTGGTACGATATTCTACCATCGGATACCTTCTGGCGCTGGCAGTGAAGCACGACTGATCCGGATTCCAGGAAAACCACCACCGGATATGTTTTCACGTTCATGGGAGGAGCAGTGTCTTGGAACGTTAAGCGACAACCAACAGTGGCGCTATCCTCGTGCGAAGCAGAATATATCGCGCTTTCCCGCACCATCCAGGAAGCATTATGGTGGCATCATTTCCAGTCGCAGATTTTTGGCATCCAAGGGATTCCGCTCCGGTGCGACAATCAATCAGCCATCTGTATCGCACGCAATCAAGGCTACAATCCCAGGACCAAGCATCTGGACATCAGGTACCATTTCGTCAAAGATGTGCTAGAAAGAGGAGTCGTCGAGCTGGGATATGTTAGCACGAAGCAGCAACCAGCAGACGGTTTCACCAAACCGCTGATGAATCAGAAGCTGGAAGAATTTAAGACATTATTAGGATTCGTAGCTTAGGAGGGAGTGTTAGAAGAGATCGAAGCAACCTACGATTTCCTATACTTTATACATAATGCCTTATATACTACTGTAGCTTAGCAACCAACATAGCAACAGTAGTTGTTGATTAGAAATAAATTTTCACTAGTCTTTAGTCACTCGAACCGAGCGGACTTACTTTCTTTTACTCTGCAAAAGGAACCGATGATTCATCAATTATGAATTGATTGAAATACATACTATTATCACTATTGAAATTCGTCTCTTCGTCTTCAAAAACTTGGCCGAAATCCATTTTTAAAACATTTGTCGGTACAGATCCACAAATCCAGAAACACAACAACAAACTGAGACCAACTGATGTATTCAAACAACCCGTATCGAACATGAAACGTCAAATTTTCGCTACCTGTTGCGGTTTTCACTAGTACGGACATAAATAGGATCCACAATCCTTGATTTCGCTGGATGGTGTTTGTTTACAGTTCCAAGCGAAGTGAAATTTTTGTGGATTACATTTTTCGCACTGGTGAAAAATCGATTATTTTATATAAGATTTCGCTTCGCTTCGATCTCTATACAGGCCTTAATGCAACAAAGTACTTCTGATTCACTACCGAAGATATTCGAGGCAAATGTGGAAGGCGAAAACAGCTAGTTCTATTCATCAAGCATAAACGGAACACTACCATTAACAACTACAAGAAGCACGATCACAGAGGCAAGGTGGACGGAGCCCGGTAGTGAACTAGAACTCTAAGCACCTTACTGTTGCCGTGACACTCTCAACCTATCAAAATGAATTCATCGGAGACGTTCACATTTGCACTAGGGACAAGCAACAGACAGCACACGACGGGTACACGACGTTAGACATACGGTCGTTAGGCATACGGATGTTAGGCATAATGTACGATAGGCATAATGTACGATAGGCATAATGAACGTTGGGCATAAAGGACGCATAATGGATATTAGGCATAATCTACCCGATAAATTCCAGAAGGATGATAATGGTGAAGGAGATCGAAGCAACTCGGTGAAAGTATAATAATCCTAGTATGCTATAAATGTCAGTACTGCATCAACAAAGTATAGTTTAGTCTCATGTTTCAATCCAACCGGTCGTATTAACTCCCTCCTCTAAGAGGTTATGGGCCATCGTCGAGAGAGGACGTTACCATATCACCGAAAAAAAAACAACTGAAATTTTTTTCACGATGGAGAGATTGGGAATAATGAAACTCAACGGAGCGAACTACACCGTCTGGAAAACCAAGGTTGAGTTCCTGCTAATTATAGAAGACCTGTGGCAGTACATTACCGGTGACGGACCGGTAGACACCACCGCCAATCCGGCCACAGAAGCTACCAGGGCAGCGTGGAACAGCGGTGACCAGAAGACGCGGGCGACGATCGGCCTCCTGCTAGATGATAACCAGCTGAACCTAATCAAGGACTGCAAATCGGCGAAAGCGACCTGGGAGAAGCTGCGGGGACATTACGAGAACGCAACACTGACGTCCAAAGTGGCGATACTCAAACGAATCTGCGAGAAGCGCTATTCCGACGGAGAAGACGTCGAGCAGCACATTTTTGAAATGGAGGGTCTGTTCGAGAGGCTGACGCTGACTGGAGAGGAACTGAGCAAGAGTCTACAGGTAGCTATGGTGCTCCGGAGTCTTCCGGAATCGTTCTCGACTCTGACCACGACGTTGGAAAGCAGGTCCGACGACGAGTTAACGCTGGATCTGGTCAAATCCAAGATGGTCGACGAGGTGGCAAAACGTTACTCAAGTGGCGGACTGGACTCGATGCTCATGACCCACGTGAAGTGGAAGCAACTTTTGTGTCATTTTTGCCAACAACCGGGGCACAAGCAGAAGGATTGTCCATCTCTGGCCGAGAAGCGGACAAGCGAACGGAAATCATCAGATGGCCAGCGTGATAAGCGAAACCAACCACGGGTGCGAGCAGCTCGCGAAGAAACCCCGAAGAAGGAGTATTCGTTCGCGACGAGAGGAACTGCAACGGTATCAAATTCATGGATCGTTGATTCCGGCGCAACGTCGCACATGTGTGTGGATCGGGCATTTTTTGTTGAACTGAATGAGAGTCGTAAGCAGGACGTGATTTTGGCCGATGTTACTGCGACGAAGGCGGAAGGCATCGGTTCATGCCAGGTAACTATGCTGTCTCCGGAGGGTGAGCCATCAATAGTAACTCTCAAGGAGGTGCTGCTGGTACAGAATTTCGAATTGAGCTTGGTTTCCGTGAATAAGCTGACGGCAAACGGTGCTACGGTCATTTTCGACGTCAACGGATGTCGAATCTTGAAGGACAAGAAGGTGATTGCGGCAGCAACGATTTCTGGGGGACTGTACTCCCTGAAGGTACCCCCAAACTGTCAGCACACTTGGCACCGTGTGTTGGGACATCGTGGCCGTCCGTGAGCTGGTGACCAAGGGTATGGCAACTGGAATCGAGATGGAATAGTGCGGCTGCCGAGTCGTCTGTGAATGCTGTCTTGAGGGCAAGCTGACACGTTTTCCGTTCCTCAAGAAGTCGAATCCAAAGTCCAAGCAACCATTGGACCTTATTCATACCGATGTGTGTGGACCCATGCGAACCGTGACACCCGGTGGGTGACATTATTTTCTCACCATGATTGACGACTTCACCCGTTTTACCGTCGTATATTTCCTGAAGCAGAAGTCCGAGGTTTCCCAGCGTATTCAAGAGTACGTCAAGTTCGCCCAGACGGAATTTGGAAAAATCCCGAAGATCATCCGTTCCGACCAGGGGGTGAATTTCGGAGTGACGTGTTGGATGCGTTCTGCCGAGCGCAAGGGATACGTCAGTAATTTACCACCGCCTACACTCCGCAGCAGAACGGGGTTGCGAAGCGGAAGAACCGCTCACTGGTGGAAATGGCGTGCTGCATGCTACTGGACTCCCGAATGCCGTTGAAATACTGGACGGAAGCGGTTAACACTGCGAACTAACTAGAAAACCGTTTGCTGATGAAGCCGTTGAAGAAAACGTCGTACGAGGAGCCCATACCAGAAACGACGAGTTCCAGAGCCTGGTGGGTGCTCTTCTAAACATCGCGGTCAACACGAGACCGGACATCGCCATAAGCGCCTCAATTCTGGGCCGCAAGGTGAGTCGACCAACGGAAGCAGACTGGACCGAAGCAAAACGGATGCTCCGGTATCTCCAGTCAACAGTGGATTGGAGCCTACGTCTAGGTTCAGGAGTTGGTCAACAATAGTGTGATGAACGTTCGCTATTGACCCAGTGAACAAATGGTTGCCAATGTTCTAACAAAACCATTGGCTCGCGTCAAGATGGAAAAGATGCACCTGAAAATTGGTCTACAGCCCGCCAAGCTTGAGGAGGAGTAATCGAAGCAACTCACTGAGCTTGAGGAGGAGTGAAGGAGATCGAAGCAACTCGGTGAAATTATAATAATCCTAGTATGCTATAAATGTCAGTACTGCATCAATAACGTATAGTTTAGTCTCATGTTTCAACCCAACCGGTCGTATTAACTCCCTCCTCTAAGAAATAGGGACCGTCTATTGATTGCTGTAATGTAATTAGGCAACCCACGGTGGGAGTTTGAGTTTCTATAATTATACTAAACCAGTGGTGGGAAATCGGATTTTGTCGGGTTGCTAAACTAAATGAAGACCGATGTGGGGCGTCATTTAACGACCGAAATGAAGACCAGCAGTGGAGATGCTCTAACCGGGAAGAATCCTGATGGAATAATCGATCGTTGAATTCGTGATGTTTTGAGGAATCACAAATAAGCGTGTGCAAAGTTTCAATCTTATAAGAATTTGCTTCATGGGCTCCCACTCTTCATAAGAATGTCATCGCGCATTTTTGACGGTTTCCCTCATATTCTTCCCAAACCGTCGTCCCGTTCTCGAAAATTATGTAAAATCTCCACGAAGGCGAAAGTATCCGGCTATTTTCCGCCCAAAAGCTTTAAAATTGGCCTCAAATTCGGTTATAAATGCACCGATTGCCTCCCAGAGAGTTGAGAAACATGGTAGGTATAAATTTGGGCTCGCACGAATCGATCTCTGACCCGGCATTCCTCTGATTCAGTTATAGTTCTCGAGCTGCGCATAACCATAACAAACAACCCTATTGGAACTCCCAAACGGACGATAACAAAAACAAGACTCTTTGACCAGGAGAGAGAGAGAGAGTGATTGACCGGAATGCTTCTGAACACTGTTTACCAACTGCCGGGAAAGATACTGCTCTCGGCCAGCAATGGATCTCTTCTGCAACGCATTCCATCGACGATTGCAAATCGAGTCCAAGCCGGAACCACTCGCCGGAAGCAACTCTTTCGCTGTGCATTTCTGAACCCAGCCTGTCTGTACCATCAGAACCAGGGAGATGGAAACAACAACCGTCTGCTGGGTGGCCCGCCGAATGTTCCTTTTTACAAGTGCTTTTCATCGTCGCTTAAGAAGGAGGAATTCCAAATCAAGTCAGTCGAAGGAGCGGAGATCCTACAGAATGTGCTGGAAAAGAACAAACAGATGCTTCAGGAGAAGAAGAAGGTGATTATTCAGGATATACGCGATAGGAAGGACAAGGTCAAGGAGCGGGTGGAAGAAGTTATCGAGCGGGAGAATGTGGCAACGATTCCGAACTTGCTGTGCATCGGGAGAATCGTCATGTCGCCGTACTTGGGCTACGTAATTGTGCAGTCGGAATTTTCGTTGGCCATGGGTATGTTGATAGTGGCTGGATTGACCGATATGGCGGATGGTTCCATTGCAAGGCACTGGCCCAGCCAGGCAAGTCGGTTGGGTTCGTTTTTGGATCCGATGGCGGACAAGATCCTGGTCGGATCGCTGGTGATTTCGATGAGCTACGTGGATCTGCTGCCACTGTGGTTGACTGGGATGATCCTGTTTAGGGATCTATTCCTGATCGGAGCCGGATTTGTGATACGCTACATTAGTCTACCTCAGCCGGTAAGATTTCTTGCGGGGGGAAATTGAATATTGAATGATTTTTCGAGCTATGGTTGTTTTGCAGCGCACATTATCACGTTATTTCGACGTTACGCACGCCACTGCTCAGCTTGCACCGACTTTTATTAGCAAGGTCAACACTGCCGTACAGCTGGTCGCGGTGGCCACCACCCTGGGGGCACCAATCTGGAACTACGTGGATCATCCATATCTGCATGCACTGTGGTATCTGACGGGATTCACCACGATGGCTGCTGCCCTGAGCTACATAATCAACAAGGACACGTACAAGATTCTGAAGAAGAATAAGAAACCGTGAAGCCCTCCCAGTTTGATTTGTTATCTTTTTCGTTATCCTTACTGGACATTGTGTTTACCAACTTTGGTCCTTCCCACGTTTGGAACATCCTTCAAACAAAATTGTATATACCATTTTAATAAAAGTTTAATTTTTGATTCCGTGCAATCGACTAGAACAGGGCTTTCTTTTGCAAAATAGATACGCATCTCTTCATTCAAGTAGCAACAATGTACTTTGGCTGTTTGTACATTTCGTAGGCAAACTCTTCCGTATGACTCGGATCGTACTCAACTCCAATATAGTCAAACTCCAGCCTAAACTGTCCCTCGTGACCACCGCGTGCTCCCACCGAGAATCCTAAGCTGCTGATTCTGTTCAACGGAACCGGTCCCTGGCTGTCCTGAACCCGCCCCTTGGAAGCTAGGAAAAACTTAGAAAACGGAATCCTCACGTACTGCCAATGGGGACCACCTCTCGTAAACAGCACATAATGATAGATATCGTTCCACAGGATGTCGTAATAACCCTCCGACGCAAGATTGATCAAATAGGAACGGCCATCGCCGCGAATTCTCATCACCAGCGTATTGTACTGCTCCCAATCGTAAAACGCATCCCGTTTGAAGGATTTCTACGAGTAAAACATTCAATCAACTCCCTCTATTAACCGCCACGTCGTCGACTACTCACCCTAATTCTCAGGCTTCTCATGTTGGCATATCCGGACCGTTTGATCCGTCCGTCCTTCGGCACTCGGCTCTCCAGCGTTCCGTGAAACATCCCGAACCCGGCAGGGCTCAGCTCGAACTTGGCCTCCGTGAATCCTTCGTTGTGGTCCTTATCCGTCGTGAGCACCCACCGATCCAAATCCTTTTCCGACTCAAAGTTGAACACCACATCAGTTTCGCCCGGTCGGTACACCACCATCGCATCGCTGGCCAACTTTTCCTTCCATTCCTGGTTGAACAGGTTGAATTCTTCCTTCAGCTCCTTCAACCCATCCAGAATCAGCTGCTTGCGGGACACTTTCTTGCCTGTGGTGGTGTTGTAACCGCCCTTGCGGTCCTTCTCCCAGAACAGATTGTTGGCAAATCTCACCGGAACGAGCGGGTGTTGCGATGATGGTAGAAGCTTTGATCCATAACCAGCGCTCGAGAGATGAGAATAGTTGCGGAAGGCACAGGTTGCACTTTTCACTAGATTTAAGTTTATTTTGGTGCAGCACAGGGTCATTTTCACTGGACTGTCGAGAAAAGTATTAACAAAATAACAAATTTTCACATCTTGTGGAGAACAATCCGCGCGTATTGCACAACACTTTTGCCCAGAATAAAGAGCTTGAATTTAGAGCCGAACGAAAACAAACAAGCGAGCAAAACAAAGCGAATGATGACAGGATTGTATTTGTGCGATGTTTTATGTTCAAAGATCAAGAGAGAAGGTATTCCTAAATGTGCTGCATGGGTACATTGAAGCTTGAAATAGAAATCTCGCGTCACTTTTCAAATAGACCAATGTAACATAACAGTGAATAATATGTTTTTTTCTTTCCTTGATTTGTTTTCCGTCGATCTTGTTTTCCGTGCTGAGCACCAATGCTACGCCAGCGAGGCAGCTCCCACACCTGGACCCTACCTATCGACCCATCAACTCATGAACCGGGGACCAACGGCTTTACTTCCCATCCGAAGGAAGGCGTGATCAGAGAAGTTATGCCTCAGAACATCCCGGCGGCGCCGACTGGGATTGAACCCAGGCCTGCTAGAGTGAGAAGTAATCACGCTTACCACTACACCACCGGCGCCGCTGTATCGGATATGTTACATTGGATGATTTTTCTCAATGACGTAATCAATTAGTGTTACATTTGACGTTTTGTTCTACATGATACTAAGTAGATTCCCTTTCACAGATTTCAGAGTAGATTACCTAACTTTAGATTATTGCCCCGTAACGTGGGTAGATCACCTTTTCGTAGTACGTTACGGGATGTTAGATCTACCATCGATTCCTAGTCTTGACTACTTCAAAGTAGGGGAACGGGATTTTTCAGTAATCAAAGGAACACATCTTAGTCCTTGTTACTTTTTATGCCTTGTTGACAGTGACAAGACTCGGCTTTGTCCACAGAGGATGATCTTGAAACAAGAAAAAAATGAGTTATTTAGTATTCATCTATGTGATTCCTAATATGCCATTCATTGTTCCCTACACAGCAAAAAAAAATGTATTATCGATCAATGTAATTCAAGCTGATGTATGAAATAATGATGCAATAGCAAAATGTAGATACAATATTACATCAAGCGGTGAAGACATTTTTTTCGATCTCGTTGAAGATTTTTTCACAAAACACCTGGCACCCAACACAACCACAGGAAAACAGGTCTCAATCGTTACACAAGGATTAACGCAGCGTTACGGCATGGATAGCGAGGAGGTTCATCTCGATGTTCAAACAGTGTTTATGTATGGAGATATCGAGGAGGACATTCTAGATAAACATTTCAAAAGGTCCTATCTGCATAGATCGATTCTCTTCATCGACTTTCTCTTTTGTCAATAACTCAACTGCAAAACCTTTCCCTGTTGTATTCGACATTTTGGACGCTAGATAAGAACCTCCTTTATCAAACTATGTAGTAGAATTAGCGCGAAATCTGTTTGCATAGCAGTGGTTATGATAAGAGAAAGTCGATGAAGAGAATCGATCAAAGCAGATAGGACCATTTGAAATGTTCATCGAGAATTATATGCAGCAACCACCCGGATATGAAGTAAATGGCAAGGAGGACCTTGTTTGTAAACTTCGTAGGAGTATTTATGGGCTGAAGCAATCAACCAGATGCTCGATCCTGAAATTGACCAGTGTGCTGACTCGATTGTGATTCAAGGCATGTTTAGCTGATCCTTACCTCTACATAACCTAATAAAAATAACCATAAAGAGAGCTAAACGACGTGTTCGGGGCAGGCATGGAAAATCATTTGCATTCATTTCGTGCATTCATTTACATTCATTTGCCTCTAACTTTTTTCATCAACAGCATTTCGTATAATGATGCAAAGAGATTTTGTAGGTTTTGTTATTCGCTACAACTTTTGTTAACAAGTTAAATCCGTATCTCTGATGCATGACGAACCAGAGCGAACAGAAGCCACTGCTGTTTTTCAGTGAATGTATTTTACATTCACTGAAAAACAGTAACAAGTTCTGCCCACTCTAGTTCGTGATGCATAAGAGATACAGATTTGAGTTATGAACAAAAGTTGTAGCTAATAACAAAACCTACAATAGCTCTATACATCATTTTGCGTAATGCTGTTGATGAAAAAAGTTAGAGGCAAATGAATGTAAATGAATGTACGAAATGAATGTAAATGATTTTCCATGCCTGGTTCGGGGTATCATCCAAACCATTACCCGAGAGTTTACCCATCCGGGATACATTTCGTTCATAGTATTTGTTTATTGGAGTACTTTATGTAGATGATTTTATTGTTGGATGGCGTAGCGAGGAGGAGATATACCTCTAGGTGCCTCTAGACATCAATATGGCGGGTTTTAGAGGCCTATTTCTTGCGTTTGCCAAGAGCTTAAATAGTGAGCATTTTGATATATTGTGTCTGGGTGATGTTTAAAATTAGCATGGACAGGAACTTGTAACCTGAGTGTTACAATTTGTCCCATTTTGTGAAGTTTTGTCACCGAAAGTAATTTTGCCGTGTTTCACACGAGCGTGTGCCGTGCTTGTATGTTTTGTTTTTGTTGTCATTTCACGGTTGGTGACATACTCTCGGACATCCCGCATAAACGCGAACCATAAATTGACCTTACCTAAAATGGTTAAAAATTGTTTATAATCCCTGCTAAACTTTAACTGAAATGGTTATGGAACTTTACATGAACGTTTAATGATAAAGTTTCAACCTTATGTATTATGGTTTTTTGGAACGGGACCTTACAAATAATGGGTTGTTAAGAACCATTACCGTTCCAAATTCTTGTTTTCTCTATACATTTTCGGAAAGAGAACTATATTAGAACCTTTTAACTTATGGTTTGAGAACTTTAATGGTAATGGTTATGGTAGTCAGTAAGGTCCACGAATGGTTTTGTAACATCGATCAACTTTATGTGGAATATATCGCGAATTGGTTGCCTGTAATTTACTGATTACCAATTCACGATATATTCCACGTAAAGTTGAGCGATAATACAAAACCATTAATGGACCTTACTGACTACCATAACCATTAGCATTAATGTTCTCAAATCATAAGTAAAAACGTTCTTATATAGTTCTCTTTCTGAAAATGTATGGAGAAAACAAGAATTTGGAATGGTAATGGTTCTTAACAACCCATTATTTGTAAGGTCCAATTCCAAAAAACCATAATACATAAGGTTGAAACATTATCATTAAACGTTCATGTAAAGTTCCATAACCATTTCAGTTAAAGTTTAGCAGGGATTATAAACAAATTTTAACCATTTTAGGTAAGGTCAATTTATGGTTCGCGTTTATGCGGGATGCCTTCGTGAATAATTTTAATTTTAAATTTTGCGCGTTATTTTATTTGGTTTTTTATGTTGTTAGTTTAGTTAGTTAGTGAAAAAAATATCGTTTAAGATTGTTTCGCGTCCCATATTAATTTAGGTCTAGGTTCTCCTCCCGCTACAAGAAAAGCGACAACAACATAAATGTGTCAAGCGCGGTTGCAGGAGCGATGGTGGTTTTGTTTTTGTATTGTGACGTTGTGAACCAGGAGAACAATTCGAGTCACGGTGGAGTCTACGCGTGTTTTCTGTCTGTCTGGAGAAAACCGAGAAAACAGACTCCAACTGGGAAAAGTTTGCCCAGCCGTGACGCGAGTGCCAAGGCGTTTTTCCTACTGCACCACGTGTGGAAGCCGGCCCCGTGGCTGCGCAAATCAGTGTTGGATCGCCATTGTGAGGAAGCTAACCATTAAGGGGCTATTCGCTTCGCCGTCAAACCACAAAGAATCCGGTAGACACTCGCCGTCCTGACTGCGGTGGCTCCGCCAATAAAGCCAGACTCGCTACCGCAGTTTTTCCACCGACAAACCGACATGACAATTAATTCTGACTTATGCCCGAAAATCGTAAACGGCCGAACCACAGACAAACAGACATAACACTCGCATTTTGTTCATCGAACAAGCATTTAACGGTCAATTTAAAAGTATCGTAGTTGGTAGCACCACCACCTGTGGCGCGCATAGTCATTTCCCTTGAGTTTGACGTTTTCACACTACCGCCATCTGTTCAGCGTACTACCCACCACAGTGTACTCAACAGATGGCGGTAATGTTTTAGCGACGATGTTTTACAGTGAGAAATATTCAATGTGTTATGTCTGTTTGTCTGTGGCCGAACTGTCAAAACTGTAACCTGTGTGTTACAATTTATCCCAAGGGGGACGACACATCTAAATCTCAAGTCTAGATGCTCAACAAATCTTCCACTAGCGAATCAATCTACGAAAAATCTTCTTTCATTTCTCGCATCTACTTGCATCGTGCATCATCTTTTTGTAGGAAATCTTCAGAATCGTCGTCAATCTTCTTTCTATCTACTCAGCGTGCGCGCAGCTAGCCACAGCAAAATACAATCTTTTCTGCATCGTAGATAGAGTCGTCCCCCTCGATTTATCCCGTTTTGTGTAGTTTTGCTGCCGAGTGTAATTCAGCCGTGTTTCACACGAGCGTGTGCCGTGTTTGTAATGCTTTGTTTTTGTTTTCATTGCACGGCCGGCGACATACTCATCACTATGCCTTCGTGAATAATTTTAATTTGTAAATTTTGCACGTTATTTTATTCGTTTTTTGTTGTTGTTAGTTTAGTTAGATAGGGATAAAAAATAATCGTTTTAAAATGTATCGCGTTCCAAATAAAGTTAGGTCCCAAAAGCTCCTCTCGCTGCAAAGAAGGCGAAATCATTAAAAGCAACATAAATGTGTCGAGCGCGGTTGCAGGGGCGATGGAGGTTTTGTTTTTGTGTTGTGACGTTGTGAAAGGAACGGGAGAACAATTCGAGCCACGGTGGAGTCTACGCGGGTTTTTCGTTCGGAGACGTTTTTTCCCTTAGTCCCGAGAAAACGGACTTTACCTGGGAAAAGATTGCCCAGCCGCGACGCTAGTGCCAGTACTCATCTATCCAGTGCACCGCGAGTGGAAGCCGGCCCCGTGGCTGCAAAAATTAGTGTTGTTTAGTGCAACAACCAAGGGTGTCGGATCGCCATTGTGGGAAGCAGGAGCTATACGCTTCTCTGGTTAATCACCAAGGATCCGGCCAACACCCGCCGTCCTGACTGCGGTGGCTCAGCCAATAAAGCCAGTCTCGCCACCGCAGTTAATCGTCAAGCAAGACGAAGCAGGCAGTACTACAGGTGAGTTTTCCTGGGCAGAAACACTGCGGTGTCTGCCGGGGTTGCCGGGATCACCAACGTCGCCGGGGGGGTTCCGAAAAAGGAGCCTCGCTCATCCCTCCCTCTAAAAGTAAAGGACCGCTGCTAGGCAGCCAAAGGTGAAGTAAGTGTAACCGCTCAGCACAATCCGTGCTTTGTAGCAGAACCGCCGCCATACCGTCGTCGAACCCACCGAACAGCAGCAGCAACAGCGAGGAGGAGAAGATAAGTAGCGAATAGAATTTTATTTTTGTTGTTTTGTTTCACTCAAATCCGAACGACTTTGATGGAAGCACCCTTGCTCGAAGCCGCCCCGCCGGGGTAAAATCGGGCATGCTATAGGCTGGCAGGTATGCTACCAAGCCGCAAACTTACAAAACCATAGGATTTTTTTTTATATAGATAAAAATAATTTGTCCAGCATAGATCACACACGAACCAATTCATGACTTTTACATGCGGGTTCATGGCTAAGCTAAATATCTCCCGCAAACACGGAGCCAGATTTCAGTAGTGTGCTTTGGTTAGAAATTTTATTGTTTTTGCTATGGTCATTCATGTCGGTTTGTCAGTGGTTATTCATCAAGCAGGACGAAGTAGGTGATATAGAAGGCTATACCACCAAGGGTAGATCACTGCGGTGATACCCGGGATTGCCTGCGGCGAGTGGGTAGTCCGGTGACTTATCACCACCATCGCCTGGAGGGGAGGAGGGGGGGGTTCCGACAAAGGAGCCCTGCTCATCCCCCTCGCTAATTTCCAAGGACAGCTGCTAAGCAGCCGAATACGACAACCGCTCAGCACAGTCCGTGCTTTGTTGCAGCAGAACCACCGCCAGACCGTCAGATAATAGACGTCTAAAACTGATTCCTTCTTGTTGTTTTGTTGTTTCACCCAAATCCGAACGACTTTGGGGGAAGTACCCTTGCTCTAGGCATTTCCGCCGGGGTAAAATCGGGCCAGCTATAGGATGGCAGGTAAGCAATATCCAGGGCAATATCTTACAAACTCGGATAGGACAACCTAGTCTACAGATCTTGAGTTAGAGGAACTACATCGACAAGTTGATTACCAAGCTGGAACCGAGATGGATCAAGGCACGCAACATAGAGCGAGTCGTTCAAGAATGGGATGTTTCTCAGAAGCCATTATGTACATTTCAGTTTGTGCACGGTGTGACATCATGACGAGTTCCGATAATCTCGCCAGGAAGTTCTGTTCTCCTAAGGTTACAGTTCAGGGAGTTGGTTTACATGGCGTTTTTCCGGAGGATTCGAGTGTTTGCTAATAACATAACTCTCAACGTTCGGTAGTAATAGGCAACAAAAACACACACATACATTTTACCCGACGAACGGTATTCTCTAACAAAAATACATTTCATATGTCAACCCAGTTGTCAAATGCATTTAAAGAGATCCGATGCACAGATCAGAAACTTGTTTCAGTTATTCGATTTTCAGTTGATGATCTTTCACTTACCGAACGTTTAGTGTAGTCCTAAGCCATGATATTTTAAAATGAAAACGCAACTTTTTTTTTGTAAAATACTTTCTTTATTTCGATTTTTCTTTGGTTGTATGGTTGTCCGATGTGAAACAAGCTTTTTGTTCGGTAATGTGTTTTATTGTTTCTGGTTATTTACTGCCTACTGATCAGTTTTGGGACATGACTTACAGAAGGATCTACTCCACCCGGTTTCATGCATTCTTTGAATGACGAATTATCAAACTAAATGTTTTCTAGAGTCAATTGATACAACCGTTCCGTACCGTAGATTTCAATCAAAACTTCAATTCAACTTCAATTGGAAAGATTCCATTTAAATATGTATTTATTTTTAATTTATTTTCAGATATTTAACTATAGCTTACTGGAGAATGGGTATTCAATTCAAACTAATCAAGATGTACAGCTAAATCCTCTGTTGTTGTTGTTGTTGTTTTTTTTTCTCTGGATTTGCGTATTTTGCATAGCAATTTTTTTTAGTAATATTTTATTTAGAGTTTTTGAAGCGTTTTCAGATATCCAATTTTAAGATTTAAATTTTTATTGCAGACTTTATCCATTTGCAAGGGGCTGTTTTATTTTACAGATTGTGGGGGACAAAAGCTGGAAACTGCTATAAACTAACCGTGATTTCTAAACTTTTTCTCGGTTGATTTTATTTTAGTAGGGGTTTTATGCACTTCCTATTAATTGGTTTTATAATTATATCACAAAGTGTTGGTTTTATTCTCCATTGTTTTAATGTTTTTCTTCGTAGCCCTTTCGAACGATTCCGAAAGAAAAGTGTGTTTTGCTCCTTATTGGTAGTTTTCTCATTCATGTTCTAACGCTAAGTTTTCAAACTACTACATAATTCGATTGGCATGTATTTTACAGCAGTTGGTTTTGTTCTTTTCTTCTTTTCTTTTTCTAATATCAACAACGGGAACGAGAATACCTACTGAGGGTTATGTTTAGCGGAAGGTGATTGCTTCCGACCAGGTTGTCTATAGATGTGGGTGATATGTTCAGCCGATGCAGGCGTGTTGATAGAAGTTGATACATGTCAAATACCTACAACAAAGATGTCATTTTACCGGCAAATGTCAATGGTTCACTTTCCATTAGGCTGTTCTGATCATATTCAAATGGCCAAAAGGATTGCTAATACTTTATCCCCTGCGGGAAAGCGAAATTGTAACTGTGGCTAAGATTTATGACACACTCATCAATAGGCAAAATTGTTGCTTCAATCTGGAAAACAAATTTCTTCCGAAACTTTTACTTTTTGCAGCGTATCCAAAAGAATCGATTTTCCCGACGGACAACAAACTATTGGAACTTGAATCCAGCTTTATATGTGACCTGTACTTTTTTTTTCTCGTAGTCGGAGTCCCTTGCTGTGAAATCACGACTTCCTGCAAAGTCCACCTATGTTCATACGGGGAAATAATTTAACTCGCTACAGTAGTTGGGGTTTTACTCGTAATACTATAAGTTATTGCTTCAATGTTGTTTTTTTCTTTTTCTACATGCAAGAGATCAACTATAGGAAACTATACATGCAATTTCATTTGATAGTACTTCCTTGTGTTTTTTTGTTCTACTACAATGCTATTGGTCAATGCGTTCATCACTATTACATTTTTATTTTTGCAACGAACTGCAATTCATGAAACTCCACATACATTCTATCCTGCCTCACGTTGTTAGCATATGTGACGATTGTGTCTTTGCCGAATGCGAACACTTTGACATTTTCGGTTCAGTAGGCGTTTGTGTGACAAAATCGTACATAGCTCATAGCTTACTGCGCTCGATATTCGATCCAGCTTCGTCTTAAAGTTATAAATAGAATACCTACGACAGCGGTTTTACCTTGGAAGTTTGATAAGCGTCGTACTTGGAAAACGATAAGTTTAGAGACATGTGTAGATGTCAAAACAGTGAACACAACGTTCGGTGCGTAAACCGCCGAGTCAGAAGTCATATGGTTGTTGAGTATGTAGTTTTTGTGCGTTTGAATCCAGTTGGAATTCGCAGTGGAAGTTTGAAAATGTAGTCTTTTGGAGCAGTCGTAATGAGTCCGAAATTGACAATAGAGGAGCAAGTCAAGTCTAGAGGTGCTAACAATTTGCAAAACAAGGAAAATCCAAATTATACACAGTGTCGTCAGGATCCAAACTCAACCAACAATCACTTTACTAGTCCATTTCTTGTGTTCTTCCGCATAGCTACTACTTTCAGTCTAAAGACCTAATTTCCGCTACGTATGGGTACAGAGCAATACTTGAACCGATCAATTGGAAAATAAGGTTCCTAAATTAACGGTAAACAGCCTTTCTCGTGTTCTTTGATTTTGTTTTACTCCATTTTTTAAAGTTTTTGTTCCTATAAGGTTCGGATGACTAATATCTTTATATTAAGAATAACTATAATCTATATGTATCAAGATAAATAGTACGGGTGTACGTCTGTATGACTAGATTTTCTTCACACAATTGTTTCTCTGACTACTGTACAGTAACACTCTGTGATTGCAGTTGTAGATAATTGTTCTAACTAATAAGTAAATAGTAATGTAATAGGAATCAACTCATCTGTTTCATATAGGATGAACTATTTTTTTTGGTATCATTTAACTCTTTTCATGCTTAATTTAATGTCAGCGATTTCTATATGCTCATTTTGCTTTGACATCTCTACGTAACTATTGTTAAGGAAACTCGTGCTTTTACTAAAGGTGAATTAGTCAGGACAATAGGTTAGATGATTTTTATGCCGTTTTGACACGAAATCTGATTCGTTAATGATGCCCCCTTCTTCTTAAAAAATGTAACGGCTTCCCGGGCATAGAGTGTGATTGTACTTGTCACAGAATAATACTAATTCAAAAACGATACAGGCTTAGAAAAGCTTTCAGTTAACAACTGTGGAAGTGCTCAAAGAATACTCAGTTGAGAGCCGGTGTAAAGTCCCAGAGGGATCGTGATAAAGCCTAAAGAATAGGAAGAGATGAAATGAACTCCATTTCACTATCAACTTCCTGGTTACGGTTCTAATTAGCATTCAATAAAACCGATTTTTATAGCTCATCTGAAAGAGCTTCGTTTTCTGAGCACTGTTTGACACTAAGCTAACAAATTGATAGCTTGCTCCCATACAAAGTACATACCACCGAAGAGATGGTGATTTTTGCTAATGTAATCGTTCACGGATAGAAATCTCCTTATTTCATCTGGCAAATTTCTATTAGGTACTGATTATTCATGAAATGTATAAGTCAACTAATAAGCAGACGCCTTACAAAAATGTTAATTGAGATCATGTGTCAAATGAAATATGGTCACACACTGGAAGGGAGAAGCAGATAGCACACCTGGAATTCATTTTATAGTTGTTCTTCTTGTCATGAAAATGTGTGCCATTGAAATCAAATCAAAATAGGCGTGGTAGAATAAGGCTGTCCACGAGACAGTTGTGATCAGCTGACTTTTTTGTTTACCAAGAACTTTTGACAGATCACAGTAGAACTGGCAGTTTATTCTCATATGAATTTCTGCTTTGTTTATCTTTACATTCAGCACCATTAATACCAGATCACTCACACACTCTAGATTTCTAGCTGTCAGTTCCTCTGAGAAGCATCTCTTGGATCACCTTATAGCCTGTTTTTCTTTGAGGGTGTAATCATTGTTTGAGATTGTTCAGTTTGCAGTGAGAAAATTTACTTTTCTGTTATGTATTTTGATGTGCCTCTAAATATTTAGACAAAAACATTGGTAAATAGTATCTTTCAATATTGATTTGAGTATGTTCAATGAATGAATTTAAAAAAAAAACGGTGTCCTTTTGAATAAGATAGCTGGACAGTTTGTCATAAATTACTTTACGCAAGATTTCAATACCGCCTTGTGTATTCTTGTTGAACTGTAGGAAGAGCATCATCAAACTGCTTGGCTCCCAATGACAGTTCATGACAGCTTGATTCTGGCTCAGCGTTGCCAGATATACCGATTTATCGGTATTTATACCGATTTCCGAACTAGATACCGATATACAGATAAGGTTCCTCAGAATACCGATTTTTTAGGTTTTATACCGATTTATACCGATTTTTTTAAGTAATCAAAATGATTATTGTCTGCCCGTGCTCGAATTTCGGAGAAAATTATTGGGAGAGACTTGTATCTTTTTGAATATCACAAATTTGTTGGGCCTTTAAAATTAAAAAAGCACCATTAAAAATTGATACTCTGTCGATTAATGTTTCAATTTCCTCACCGTTTTTGGCTACCCATGAATAGATAAACAGTCGATGGTTCTTTCTGGTAATTCCGGGGGAATCGGAAAATACTTTTTAAATCCTATTTAACTTCCTGGATTATCTTCCAACTTGCCCCTGGAATTTTCTTCCACCTTACATCGTAAATTATTTTACGATTCCTCTCGGAAACTTATTTCGACTTGCCTTGGAAGCTTCTTCAGCCTTCACTCGAAAGATTCTTCCATCTTCCCCCGCCATTTTTTTTTTTTTTTTTTATTTTCCGGAACTTCAGGGATGCTTCCAGATTTTGATTGCGGATGCACACTAGCTGCAGGAACTTTTAAGAAGTTCTGAAACTTCGGAAAAGTCCAAACTTTTGAGTAAGTTTTGATAAATTAAAGAATGTTTCAATAACTTCTGTTAAAATTCTAAAACCCGGTCCAGCAAACTCCAGTGAACTTAAGGAAACATCATAAATATTTTGGATACTTCACAAGTTCAAAGAACTTCTGGGAAATTTAATGGTTTTCAGGACAGCTCCATAAGTTTCAGGGGAATTGAGAGAACTTTAGGAAGCTCCGAGAACATCAGGACAGATCAATAAATTTCAAGTAAATTGCTGAAATTTTAAAGGAGTTCCAACTCAGGCAATTTCCGAAAACTTCAGCAATGTTCCGAGAGGCTCATGCAAATTTAGGAAACGTAAGGGAAGTTACACGACCATTAGCACTTTGTGAGAACATTTTATGGGAAGTTCCGTGCTTATCAATGGCAGTGTCGATAACTTTTAAAAATTTAGAAAATCGGGATTGTGATAGCGCTAAAGAAATTTCGTAATCTTCAAGAAAGTCTAGAGACCTTTAAAGTTGATTAGAGATATTCCGGTAGTCCCATTATAATCAGAGAAGTTCCAAGTATTTCAGAGTACTACAAAATAGCCCTAATAATTTTAAGACAATTAAAAAAACTTTTAAGGAATTCCGAGGAAATATGTAACATTTCAGGAATGTTCCAAAAACTTCAGGGGCATTGTGGGGTCTTCAGGGATGTTTTATGACCATTTGGAAAATTTTCTGGATCATTAAATCCCCTCAGAGCTCTTTTTCTTCCGGAATTATGTCCTTGTTTCTTTCGACTGTTCCGTTAGCGTTCTGGCTTCCGACTTCCTCCAAATTTTTTTTCCAATCTACCTTAGGAAGTTTCTTCCGTCTTCTTCAGGAAGTTCAATTAAACTTCTCCCAGAAATTTATTTCGTCTAGTTCTATATTTTTGTCCAGTTGTTTTCTTTTTTTTTTTACTTATATTGGAAGGTTTTTCCGAGCTTCTTCTGGCTTCCCTTGTAAATGGCTATTTCTGGAATTTACTTCCGATTTCCGAAACTTGTCTGCCTTCCGTTGAATGTGAAATTCTCTTTCTTCTTTCTCTGGATGTTGTTTTCAGCTTCCTCCGGAAGCTAATTCAAACATTTCCCTGAGTTTTCTTCTGGAATTTTCCGAACATAGTCCAAAAGTTAAAATTTTTGCTTTCATAAACGGCAAAAATATAAAATTAATTAAAATAGTAAATCCCGACAAATACCGATTTTTTAAAACCTTTGATACCTTTGATAGCTGTAAAACATTCTGGCAACGCTGTTCTGGCTCCTTTTGACGCTCATATTTTTCGTTTATGCATTCTTATAGGACCTATAAATGGTTTGTCTTATGGAAAGTATGATTAATTTTCGTTCCGTGATACTTATTTAAAATAGTTCCAGTGTACCACTAATTTCCACTATAAGCTTATTTTCAGTGCATCAATAATTCAGCTTCAAAACCGAAAAGCTCAGCTCAATTTACACTGACCGCGTTTTGCCCCCCATCACTAGCGGCGCCTCTACGGCATTACGTGCTTTTAACCTGGGAGGAAGAGGAGACAATAATTATTAGGTTCTGCAGCGTGACGGCACAAATGAACTCAGTGATAAACGGCTGAACCTTTTTGACAGTTCAGTGGTACTGTTTACAAGCACTTAGTCGTTTTTTCGAAAAAAATATATTTTAAAATTTCCGAATTTTAACTTTGAAAATTGTCGAGGAAATGCGTGATGAAAGGATGTTGCTTGTGGACATTGCAAAAGTGTGGTTTACATCTCACTGCAATCTGAAAAATGATCCAGAAAATCTACCCAAGAAAAAATCAACTAAGTCCACGTAAACTTACGTATCACTGAACCTAAGAGGAAGAGGAGACAACTGGCTTCTTACTCTTTAATCTCTATATCTATCTCTATCTATATCTATCTCTATCTCTATCTTACGAACTTTAAATCGGCCAATCACGAGCTGGTTCGCGTTTGACAGAAAAGTGGTTCGTTTTCGCCCCCGTATTGTCTCCTCTTCCTCTTAGCACTGAACTGCCATCAGATTGAGGTTAACCCCGACGGTGCAAAACCTAATTGGTGTTGACGGCGACTCTGTAGCTCTTTACTCCTATGAGAAAATCCATAAGCAAACGTCAGATTGTGCGTGAAACATGGTGGACTTTGTACTATCCTTTCACTCCACTGAAAATTCCCATAACAAACTGTCTAAATTTGCTGGAAGAGTAAATTTTTCGACGGTGCCGTCAACGCCAATTGGCGTCCAAGGGGGAGAGGTGACTGTCAAATACGAACAATCGTCGCCTACCTCGCATAACTGGCTCCAAACGTAAACAAGCCATAAGAAACCTACAGCCTACAGTAACTCACTGTTCTTCCATTGCCAAGATTGTTGCTGATGCTGGTAGGGTAAACGCACCTATAGTGTATTTCGACAGTGAGCATGCATAAGGGCGTATACGCGATGATCTTCATCGATTTTCCCTTTGCATTGCTAAGACTGTCCGGCTGCTTTGATGTCCACATCAGAGTTAATCAACACGATTCTACGCAAACACTTTGCAGATCATCCAAACAGGGACGGGATTAAAAGTTAATTCGAGTTGTAGCTTACCGCCATTACTGTCAACCAGGCCTGTTAAGACATCGCTTAAATAGGACTAAAGTTGGTAGTTGTTTGACTGCAAGTGGCAAATCGTTCCAGGTGAGCGTCCCTGACACTAGCAAACTCCTTCGAGCAGACGTGGACGTAGCCTAGGAACGATGATTTAGCAAGTACCTCATGATACACCTGTCTTATGAAGCAACATACAGTCAACATTCCTATAGTACGATTAATAGGGACCGCACTATAGGAACCGGCAGTAACGAATACACGTAGCACATGCGATTAGAGCTAATTGGGGACAAATACTTATTATATAGGGTTATTTGAAGAGCTAACTTCCTGGTGTCTTCTGAAAAGTTATTAACGAGGTAGATGACCTCCTTTTGGAAAAAAAATTTGCATTCGGAAAGTCAGAAGTCTGGTCCTCCAGAAGACCACTAGGAATTCATTGTGATAAGATGTCTATTAGTGGTTTCTAAAAAATCACGGAGCTCTAGGATCAGTTTCATGAATTGAGCACATTAACGGATGTTCCAGATCTTTTAGTGGACCATCTCGTGATCCCCAGTATCATTTTTCTGGTCAAAACTGCGAATTCATTCTGATAAGATGTCTATGAGTGGTTTCTAAAAAATCCGCGTAGCTAGGATCAGTTTCATGAATTAACCACTTTGAAATGGTCTCCAGCGTCCATTTGCTGGTCATTCCTCCGATTTTATTGTGATAAGACGTCAATGAGTGGTTTCGAAAAAACCGCGGAGCTCTAGGATAAGTTTCATAAATTGACCAACTGGATGTTCCGGATCTTCCACAGGACCAGACTTGTGTCCTACCGGAAACTGACTCTTCCCAAAAGGTGTCCAATTTACTAAACAACTTCTCCAAAGACATTAGGAAGTTATCTCTTCAAATTGCCGTACAATCAGTATTTGGTCCCAATTAGCTCAAATACGTGTATTCGATAATGCCGGATCAACCGTACTCAGTACTCAGTAGTATCAGGAATCCGGCAAGAACGAATCCACACTATAAGTAGTTCTATATTGTGGTAGTTCTTTGGGAGGTCGTGCCCCAAAACGGTATTACGTACAGCAGCAGTGCTTCCTCGATGTCGAATGTTGTACACGAAGCGTACCGAGACCTTGAAGCATCGGTTTAATTGTTCTCTGAAGGCTACAGAGAGTCCATTATAGTAGACCCCATCGCAGTACGTAAAGAACGGACTGCACCAGCTTCTTGCGTGTTTGTATAGTTAGCACCGGGGCGAATCGCCTGAATGTTCGTAGCGTTCCAAACACTTTTGATGTTACATCGTTGATCTGCGCAAACCAGTTCAATTTTTTTGCCGATTCGGAGTCCAAGGTTCAGATTAGGGTAGAGAACGTTAGCCTTAGCCCAATGTTCTCGGTTGCTGCCAGATCCTGATTAATAGTTGCAATCAGTCTTCTGATATCATCCGTATGTCCAGAAATGTAGATTTGAAGATCATCGGCGTACAGTTGGTATTCACACTTCCACTGTGACGGGAAGCTGTGGATATATAAGCTGAATAACCGACGAACCGACGTGACAGCTCATACAAGCTACTTTCAAATTTGTGCCCAAGACGCCATATTTAAAATACGTTAAATACTACCGAGATCTACTCATCCGATCACGTCATACCATGAGCAAGGACGCGAACCCACATATAATTTATATTGCCTTGGTTTGCGTCTCACCTCGTTTGACAGATCTGATCGCCCGTTTGAAAGTTCGAATCGCTCGTTTGACAATTCGAATTGTGGACAAACGAAATGCTCCTGTGGCATGTCGGTTCGTCGGTGATAATAGTGCACTGAGGCAGGATCCTTGCGGGGTGCCATCGGGTACCGGGCGCTCAGCAGATGACTGGTTTCCAATTTGTACAACTTGACTACGATGACTTAGAAAAGCTGTAGTAAATTTATGTCTCAGCCGTTGATAGTCTACGCTAGGCCTGCCCAACCTTTTAAAACTTGCTTTTTCAAATAGCTGTATCTACGTTCGATGAACATGTTTCAAGCTGAAATTTGTCCATTTCTCATTCATTCTGGACTAAAATTCATAATGATGAATGAAATTGGACTAGCATGATACCATTGCTGAGATCCTGAGACCACGTCCGACCCGCGGGCCGCGTGTTGGGCAGCGCTGGTCTACGAAAAATCATCTAGGACCCTCGCTAGGACCATAGCGGTGCAGTGGTTTGAGTCTAGGTTGCTGTATATGTCATGCGTCACTTTAGTAAGGGCGCTTGTGGTGCTATAACATTTTCTATATCCAGACTGATGTTTTGCCAGCAGTGACATATTTGGTTTGTCTAGGTGCTCAGTGATCTGGCCGAGTAGTATCTTCTCCAACGCCGGACACTGCCGGAAGGTCACTTATTGGTCTGACACAGCATTTTCACGAAGCAAATCGGAATTTCATCCGATCCCGTTGCGTTGGTCTGGATTTCAGCCTCGATACCTAATGGTTAAACCTAAATCGTTGTAGCGGGTAGTCAGACGATGTGCGTTAAACTTGTTCGCTACGGATCACCCAGACCCGGACCAGGAACAGAACGAGGTATTCTAGTCTCGAGATAATCGGAACATCATTATCGAATGTTGATTTCAGCACATTTCTGTATTTAATGCCTGTTAGTACATACACACCAACTCCACCGCAAGATCATGCTCCTCGTCCTCAACCGGTTGGAAGGGAGTGTTTGACGTGGTTGAAACCTGGGATGCGCTAACAGCGAAAAAGTGGTATGATGTCCGGTTTAGGATGTTTTTGATATCATCAACATGAAGTTCGAGACCTCGAACATTCAGGTGTCCGATTCGTAGAGTTGTGTGGTTGGTTCTTGACATATTGGATAAACGTGAAGATAATCCGCCGATTTTTCCCAAATAAAAGCTCACTCCTTCGAATTAACGATGCAAGCTATGGGTAAAGGAAACATTCATCTACCTGATGTTTTGTTACTTTGCATGTGTGAGCTTTTATTCGCGATAAATCGATGAAATATTGGCACCGAAACATCAAATTGAGACACCCATACCGCCGCTATTCGCACAACAGTCCCATGTCCGGTGGAAATCATTTGCATTCATTTCGTGCATTCATTTACATTCATTTGCCCTAACTTTTTTCATCAACAGAATTCCGCAAAATACAGTATGGAGCTTTTGTAGGCTTTGTTATTAGCTACAACTTTTGTTCAAAACTCAAATCCGTATCTCTTATGCATGATGAACCAGAGTGATCAGAAGCCACTACTGTTTTTCAATGAATGTCACATGCCCGCTCTAATTCGTGATACATAAGAGATACAGATTTGAGCTATGGGCAAAAGTTGTAGCTAATAACAAAACCTACTACAGCTCTATACATCATTTTGCAGCATTCCGTTGATGAAAAACAGATAGAGGCAAATTAATGTAAATGAATGCATGAAATGAATGTAAATGATTTTCCATCCCTGGCAGTAAGTGACGAGCAAAATCCAGCGATTGAAAAATCTCACTTCAAACCGGGTAAATGAGAGAATGTTCGATGAACATTTCAAATGACCCTATCTGATTTGATCGATTCTCTTAATCGACTTTCTCTTTTGATAACCCCAGCTTTGCAAACAGATTTCGTGCTACTGTATCACATAGTTTGATAAAGCAGGTTCTTATCTAGCGTTCAAAACGTCAAATACAACAGGGAACTGTTTTGCTGCTGAGTTATAAACGAAAAAGAAAATCGACGATGAGAATCAATCAATGTAGATAGGAGCTTTTGAAATGTTTATCTAGAATATTGTCGACTCAAAAGAGGAAGGGGCCTAAGTTACGGACAAAGTCCGATCGCCGCAGGTAAATGAGAAACCTCGACTAAGCGGTTCGGTCGAGTCTGAAGCTACATTTTCAATAACGTTCGCTTTATTTGAATTTATACTATCTTTTAAAAAAGGAGATGTGTGTGTGTGTGTGTGTGTGTGTGTGTTCAAGAAATTACATTAACCATTGCTTTATATGATTGATTAAAATATGTTCTTTGAAGTTGCCAAGAAATACCACAGTAGGCTACCAAAGCGACTATTGAGCTGTTAATTTGAGCACACTCATTTCGTTTCAAAACGCTCCGAGGCTAATAAATAGTCGGTCAGAGTTATATTGGCTCTTAAAGCTGCGTGCATCCGAAAATTGTATCACTAACGAAATCATTTGTCTTCGTTTTGCCCACTTTCTACAACCTAGGTTTGACAGTAGGCTAATTTGCAAATTTGCGCACACATCGTTCTCGAGAAAGAGGCAATCAATGTTCAAATCCGGAATCAGATTTCGGTCAAACAGCTCCCCCGGGACGGCGAGAGAAATCTACCCTTAAACACGCGCCGTAGGGCTCTATCGGGAACCGGCAACAATCAGACGAAGCCATCCAAACGCACCGTCATCGGTGTCGTGACCGCACTCGTTTCGTGAGAGTACACGGAAGCGAACGAATTCTACCAACCACCAGCCGCCACATGACGCGTTCGAAACATTATTGTTGCTGCTGCTGCTGCTGTCGCTGACGGGAGTGGCATCGACATCCGAAACAGCGCTACCGGTATCAGTCGAATTGTTGGCGTTGACGGCTAAGAAGGAGGAGGATGAAGTGGAGGAGGTGCAGCCAATGCCATCAGCATTCTGCGGGACGGAATATACAGTACCAGCTGGTCATAGCTCCAGGTGGGAACCATTAATTGCGTCTATGTTCAACGATGATGTTAGGTTGGATCGGCAGCACTCCGCGTGCTGCATCCACTCAAGGTCCCGGATGGTAGCCTGGAAGGAAAAGGTAAGCGAAAATCATTAACTGCTAAACGAAATTTTACGACAACACGTGAGCTCGGTGGAGGCAATTTTTAATCATAACAAATGGACTAGAAAATGGTCTTCACTGATGGGTTGAGTACAAATAAGGCATCATGGGGGGGGACCTCGCTTACTGTGGAACCTTTTTTTTTTTTGGCGGATATTGCCTTGGGAGCCGGTCCTTCACGTCGTCGGTGGGTTGCGTGTTGAACGTTGCAAAAAATATGCAAATTTATATCGATTCCATGCTTCACTCAACGGCCTTCTTTGAATGGGTTGGTTTATTCTTATTTGGCTGCGGGTTCGGTTACGTGTTCTCCCGTCGAATACGGCTCGAGGGAAAAGTTTTATTAAGAGGAATGACATTAGGCAACCGAAACAAAAAGGTATCATCGTTCTCGACGAGGGTGTATTCAATTTAGACAGGGTTCTACTTATACATGTAAACATAACCTCAGCCACTTTAAATGTGTCTTCCACATTCCACATTTGTCACATTCGATAACTGGCTTGTGTAATCCCGAAAACCGAACAAAATCTCCTAACTTTATTACATGTAAATACTAGATCCTATAATGGTCGCACGTTTGGCTACTTGCTAACTTGCTATGACCCGAGACCCGACAATGATACTTCCTTATCCCCTGAATCTAGTGTCTATGTTCCGCGTCACTCGTTCTTGTTATATTGCTACCTCCTACAGGAGGCAACCCAAGCCGGTTCACATGCGCGCGCGTGTGTGTGTGTGTGCGCGATATTTCCAGCAAATATAATAACGCAAATCCTCTTAACCAGAAGGTCACGAACGCAAACGGATTTCGTTTGTAAGCTGCCGGCTGTGAACATGGTCGTCGAAAATCGCATTACCTTTCGGCCCACGTTTTCCGTCGCTCCACCACCGGGTCTCAACCTTGGCAAATTCAAATATATGTACATACATACCTGATGCATCGAGTAAACGGCCATGACCACCAGCACGTGCATGATGTTGTGCGAGTTGAGATAGATGTCCACACTGCCGGGGAACCACTTTTCCGGTATGTGCATCGCTCCAATCACGCCACCCACGGCCGAAACGGCGTCCTTAAGAGAGGAAGAGGCGGAAGAAGAAAGAGAACAATGTGAGTCAATTGCATACAGTCAGGGGTTACTAATTAGTTTAGTGCTGATTGACGTCGCGCTATAATGAGGTTTATGGAGGAGTAGTGGGTCTTCCGGGGAGTTTCTATTCTACTGCACGTGTGTGAGAATCTGTTCATTACCTACAGTTGCTTTTCCATGGCCAGTGGTGGCACGGGTACTGTTTCCTTAACATTTGATACTTTTCGTAATGACCATACACTGAGGCATATAAACTTAACAATTTCAATAAGGCTCGACTTATGAACACGAAACATATGAATTTCATAAGCGTGACTTATGAATTATTTTCTTCTAACATGCGGTAGCTCTTATAAGTAATCCTATACATAGAGATTCGCGGAAGCGGCCATTTTGAGCCAATCGAGCAGCGAGAACTGTGAAACCATAGAGGTAACGCTAAGACTAGAATGTCCCGAAGAAACGTGCTCAACTTTTTGGCTCAGCTCTGGTTCTATCTTCGGTCCCAAGCTAATCGATGCACCCCTCGAAACATAGGAAAATCCCCGAACCCCTAATTTTATCTGTCAAACTTTGATAGAAAATCAAAACAAACATAGTGTAGTACTAGAATTTCCACTAGAATTGGGTACGTTAATCGTTTGCTTGGGACCACTAGGCTAGTCAAGTAGTGAGCCAATTTAAAATCGTTAATTACCACTGGTTGGTCAAACTGTGAGCCAAACGAGCATTCTGATTAGAAAATATTTAGAGGATTTCTTATTGAGTTGAAAAGTATTGTAATCGGGGGGAAAGAAATTGAAACTAAAAGCAAATATGTATTATAGCAGTAAAATGCGTATGACATATATTGAGAATTTTATGCATAATTAACAATTATATAATACATTGTAAATTGAGAATTTTTTTATAGATTTTTCAATTCGGATAATATTGCTAATTGCATCTGCAAAAGGACAGTCCGATAAATTAAAAAAATGTGATAAAATGCACGATTCCGTCTTTGTCTCTGGAGAACTTATTGCTTCCTTATTATAAGGAATGAATGCACTGAAGACACCAAAACGATTAGAAAAAAAAAATTGCACTTTTATCATCCTTTTTAATAAGTGAAAACGAGCTTATTCGTCCAGTTTGGTGTGAAGTGCGCAATTTAACTGTACGCAATATTTCTGTTGTTTTTTTTTGCAGCTATATATCTTAATTAATTTACCTAAATACAATTGCTTGCGCTCGAGGTGGTACTGTAAGAAGCATTAAATTTTAACTAGATACCATCAAATGATTATCATTGTAACATACACTACACGAACCTAATCCAACGCTAATCCACTACGGAAAAATCCGACGGTAGTCCGACATTTTTTTTCGTGAAGTTTAGCGTTTTCTGGAAACCTGTAAAAACTCACATTGTTACACTTCGTTGCAGTTCCAAGACCGTGGTTAGGGCAAAACATGGCAAAAATAGTTCACCAGTTGAGTGAGAATTTAAACAAACTCATACCGTAGACAATGATAAAGTCACGCACAAAGCTGGAACATTTTGCTCCGCGGCAAGTGTTAAAAGCTTTTTTTTTTTTTTTTTTTCCTTTGGTTTGTTTTTTCCGTCGATCTTGTTTTCCGTGCTGAGCACCAATGCTACCGACGTGCCAGGAAGGCAGCTCCCACACCTGGACCCTACCTATCGACCCATCAACTCATGAACCGGGGACCAACGGCTTTACTTCCCATCCGAAGGAAGGCGTGATCAGAGATGTTATGCCTCAGAACATCCCGGCGGCGCCGACTGGGATTGAACCCAGGCCTGCTGGGGTGAGAGGTAATCACGCTTACCACTACACCACCGGCGCCGTTAGTGTTAAAAGCTTCTGTGAACAAAACATATCACGTTGCCAAATCGTATGTTAATATTTCAGCAAATCTCTGTATATATGATTACTAGCTCTTATACGCCTTTAACCATTTCATTTTCCCAAGCGTTGAAAGATGAGTGGGCCCCGTAATCTCAATGTTGCAATATGTGGCGACCCCCCGTATCATCATTCCCACTGACGTTGCCGACACCAACACACAGACACAGGGATTCGAGGTAGAGTAGAAAAAGAGCGCAGCTCGCTATCTGTAAACGTTCTAAATATTCGCTTAAATAAATAATTATAAAACGTGGAACCAGTGTTTGAGGTTGAATAAAACATGGTATCAGAAGTGATCGCGTGTTTCGAATAGTTTTTCCGGCGTCATTTTGTGTAAATCGCGGAAAAATCTGTGAAAAGACTTGTGTACAAATTTTCGCATCACGGCGCGTTGGCGGCCATTTTCTTCGAAGTGGAAAAATTTACGGTTGATCCTCATCGACATGGATCCCAACCAATTTAAAATGTTTCTGGAGCACCAGACGAACATTTTCACGCAACTTATGCAAACAATGAATGCAAAGGCTACAGCGACAGAAACATCCTCGTTGCAGCAGCAGCGTCAACAACAAACGGAACGGCAACGACCGTGTGCTGCAAATATTCCGGTTCCCCTACCATCACCTCTAGTACTGGAAGGTGACATGGAGGAGAACTATGATTTTTTTAACAAGAGCTGGATGGAGTATACTAAGGCAATCGGAATGGATCAATGGCCATCGGAGGATAACACCAAGAAAGTAAGCTTCCTGTTGACTGTCATCGGTGAACCTGCAAGAAAAAAAATTACAATTTTGAACTCTCTGCTGAAGAATCAGCAACAACGGAAACCGCTCTTCGTGCTATCAAGGCCAAAGTTGTAGCAAAGCGCAACATAATCGTGGACAGATTGGTTTTTTTTTCTGCGATCCAGGCCTCTCAGGAGTCGATTGACGAATTCTCTACTCGTCTCAAGGGATTGTCTAAGGTTTCTAAATTTGGAGCCCTCGAATCGGAGCTTATTACGTACAAAGTCGTCACTGCAAATAAATGGCAGCACCTGAGAACGAAGATGTTGACGATTGCAGATATAAACTTGGATAAAGCGGTAGACCTCTGTCGTGCTGAGGAGATCACTGCTAAACGGTCGCAGCAGTTGGGAATTTATGTTCCGGAATCCGAAGTCAACAAAGTATGGGACAACAAAATTTTTGAGAAAGTATGTCGTGCAGCTGAAAGATCGAAGAGTTGGAGATCGCGACGCGTCAAGGAGGTAAAGGATGGAAGCAACTCGAATAGTGACTCTTCTGGAACCGAGGATTCGTCGGAAGAAAGTGAACAGGAATACTTGATCAATAAGATTTTCGACAACACGACCAACGGTGGTGGCGTAGTAGCGGAGCTGGACCTCAAGTTCGCCAAGTCATGGAAGTCCGTTCTATGCGATTTGGATACAGGAGCCAACACGAGCCTAATCGGCTATAATCGACTGATCGAACTCACAGGGGAAAGCAAGCCTTCATTACAGCCATCAACGTTGAGATTGCAAAGTTTCGGTGGCAGCCCGATCAAGGTTCTAGGTCAGGTGAAAGTGAAGTGTCGTCGATTGAACCGTAAGTATCGTTTAGTATTGCAAGTCGTGGATGTCAATCATCGGCCCCTACTATCGGTCAGGGCATCTCGAGAGCTTGGCTTTGTCAAGTTCTGCGAAACTGTCGAGTTCATATCAGAGCCTGGCTCATCATCGGAAAAATTGCTGAAAGTATACCGAGTGGAAGCACAGCAGATCGTGGAGAAACACCAAAAGCTTTTTGAAGGATATGGAAAATTTCCGGGTACGGTGACACTGGAACTGGACAATTGCATTACACCCTCAATTCAATCACCTCGTAGGGTGCCTATCGCATTACGCAACGAACTCAAAAAGGAATTGGAAACTTTGGAGTATGACGGTATTATCACAGACAAACAGACGTAACTCTTCATTGTGTATCTTCGTACATGCATTTAACGGTTGATTTGAATATTATCAGTTCCGCGAACTACTCGCCGCAGCGCTGGCATCGGATCACTTTGACGTTTCTATACATTCTATAGAACTTTTATGCAATATTGTTTACGAGTTAGCGAGCAAGCTTGTTTTCCGCGAAAAGCCAGAAAGATGTCGTTACTGAGGTTATAAGTTTTGAGATACTATGTTTTCAAGAACAAGTTTTTCAAAGAGTTACGTCTGTTTGTCTGTGGTATTATTGTGAAGGAGGCGAGTTACACCGACTGGGTGAGTAACCTGGTATTGGTTCTGCGAGGAGGGGCGGGCACCGGCGTACGAATTTGTATAGATCCCGTTATGTTGAACAAAGCGCTACGTAGACCAAACTTGCAGTTCACCACGCTGGATGAAATTCTTCCTGAGTTAGGGAAGGCTAAAATATTCTCCACGATCGACACGAAGAAAGGATTCTGGCACGAAGTCCTAGATGAGAACAGCAGTAAACTTACAACATTCAGGACACCATTCGGAAGATACCGCTGGACTCGTCTACCCTTCGGAATCGCATCAGCACCGGAGATATTTCAGCTCTAGCTGCAAGAAATGATCCAGGATCTGAAAGGAGTAGAGTGCATTGCTGACGATCTGCTCATTTATGGAGTAGGAAATACGCTAGAAGAAGCGTTGGTGAATCACAACAGTTTGTTGTCTGAAGGCACTGTTTTATCGGCTGAAGGAAAACAATGTCAAGCTAAATCGATCAAAACTAAACCTTTGCCAGACGTCGGTTAAGTTCTACGGTCATGTTCTGACTATTCAAGGCATCCGTCCAGATTAATCGAAAATAGCAGCCATTAAAAAATATCCAACACCAAGCAACAAAAAGGAGGTTCATAGGTTCATTGGTATGGTTAACTACCTGAGTAGATTCATTCGCAATCTCAGTGTCAATCTTACCTGCCTTCGCAAGCTCATCTTGGACGCCGCACATTGGCAATGGACATCAAACTAGCAGGAGGAATTCAACTTGGTTAAGTCTCTGGTATCCAATATCAGTACACTGCAATATTATGACGTTACACTGCCAATAACAGTCGAGT